CATCCACAAACTGATGGGCAAAGTGAGAGAACCATTCAAACATTAGAAGACATGCTGAGAGCATGTGTAATAGATTTTGGTAAAGCTTGGGATACTCATTTACCTATGGTTGAATTCTCATATAACAACAGTTACCATACCAGCATTAAAGTTGCTCCATTCGAAGCACTTTATGGTCGAAAGTGCAGATCACCGTTGTGCTGGGCTGAAGTTGGAGACACACAATTGGCTAGAGCTCAACTTCCAGAAAGCACTCTCACAGGTCCAGAAATCATCAGAGAGACTACTGAGATGATAGTACAAATCCGAGAAAGATTAAAAGCTTCCAGAGACAAATAGAAAAGCTACGCCAATAAACGAAGAAAACCCTTGGAGTTCCAGGTTGGTGATCAAGTTATGTTGAAAGTTTCACCCCAGAAAGGTACGATACGTTTTGGAAAGCATGGAAAATTAAACCCAAGGTACATTGGACCATCTGAGATTCTTGCTAGAATCGGCCTAATAGCTTACAAACTTAATTAGCCGCAACAACTTAGTAACATACATCCTACATTCTACGTGTCTAACTTAAAGAAATGGTTATCTGATGAGACTCTCGTAATCCCACTTGATGAAATCGAATTAAACGAGAACTTAACTTTGTGGAAGAACCCGTAGAGATTTTAGATAGGGAAGTTAGGAAAACCAAACAAAGTCGTATCCCGACAGTGAAAGTTCGTTGGAATGCAAAGCGAGGGCCTGAATTCACTTGGGAACGGGAGGATGGAATGCAACAGAAATACCCACATCTTTTTCCCTAGTCTATATGTAATGTAAAAATTTCGGGACAAAATTCTCTCTAACGGGGGGATAATGTAACAAACCGTTATTTCAAACCTATGTAATAGTGTAATTTGTAGTTCTTTTTAAAATAATAAAGATAAATTTTATCATATTGTGTATATTTACATAATTGACCCTCAAAACTAAAGTGTTAAATAATCTCAATTGGGATAAACCAAGTCATAGATATTTTAACAAGGATTCAAAAAAAATATGAAGAACTCCCAAAACCGAGTTATAACAAATAAGTTATGACCAATTGAAGATCCGCAACAAATCCGGCAAACACCATTTCGCGTAAAAAGTAAGTTTTTGATAAACTACTTTCTAGCCTTAGTGACCTTAATGAAAGTTGTAGAACTCGTAAAAATAATGAACTTTCATATATTGAACATTTAAATATGACTTTGTACGAAGAAGTTATGATTTTTCTAAAATTCGAATTAGCAGTAGACAACTAGAAACTCGAAATAAAGATCGAGCGAGATTTATCCGAAATAACTTAAATGAGAATCGAAGGTTTCGTTAATACTAGTACAACGGTAAAAAGTTTGACGAAAACAGACGTCGGATAAAGAAGTTATGAATTTTTAACGGATTTTCCTGTCCTGGTCTGTTAAAAATAATAATATTACAAATAAATTCAAAATTAGCCGATGAAGTTTAAAAGAAAGTTGTAGAGTATAATTTTACCTACGTGTGCATATAAAGAACGTCAAAAACGGAGTTAGTATGCAAAAGTTATGAATTTTACAAGTTTTTGGCTCAAAAATAAAGAAAAATAGTAAAAATCCGGATAATTTCGCATGAACAGTACCCCGGCCACGTCACCTCACATCAACAGCCTCCCTGTGTCGCATGCTGATTCGTCCGAAACCGAGGCCGAATTAGAAACAGACACGCCTCGCACCGGTGGCGTCCTGCGAGCCAAGCCACGCGACTTTCCTTCCCTTGCTCCGCTTTGCACATGCCGCCTTCCCATTGGACCGAACTCCGATCCAATCCGAGCCAGCCAGCAGCGAACGTCCAGTCCGAAGCCGCCTCCCTCCCTTCACCACCTGTCTGACACGTGGCAGACTCGCATAGCCTTGGATCCGAGGCTCCGACCTATATAAGGCATGCGAGGGTTCCGATTTATTTTACATATTTCACCCTAAATTTCACCCTCTTTCATATTTTCCACTTCCATAAGCTCATATACAACCCCTAAAGCCCCAGTATCAAGTCTCAAACCCTAAGCAAGCCTCGAAGCCCCGAGATTCCCGAGAAGTAACCTCTCTCCTGTCAAAACTCTGTCCAATTCACCATCTATCAAGTGAGTTTATACCCCTATGTTTTCACTATTTTTAGAATGTTTTAGGGGGGAAATACAAGTAAAATACAAGGAATTTCATGTAAATGATAAAACTCATTCTTTTGTTTTATTATTATTATAAATAAACTATTGCAGTCGTTTGGAACTATTTGCTACAATAAACATATAAATTATAATAGGTATAATTTATGATTCATACAAACTTGTTAATATACTTTTTGGAACTACATATGTTCACTACATAATCAGAGTTTATGATGAAATTAGATATATAAATTATATTAAATATAATTTATAATATAGTTATGATATGACTATTTCAAGGATACTTTTCAATATTTTACACATAATTATCAATAAGGTATCTGTGAGACACACTTCAAGTACTTATTCAAGTATAAAACAAAAGCCCTGAAAGTTATAACCAGAGTCTCATTGAAGGAGAGCGTGACACTTGTATAGAGATCTATATGGGATTGACAATCCCACATCTCGACTGTTAGCTACAGTCAAGCCGACAGGCTTGGGATGACAATTGTCATACCATATTACAATGCCTGAAGAACGTTGTGTTTCAGGCGAGGCTTAGGTCATCAAGTATGGTTATGACAACTCACAACTTTGAAATTGATAAATAAGTTTGGTGTAAGAATAAGTAACAACTTCATATACTTTTAATATATTAAAAAAAATAATTTGATGAGAATTTAAGTGATCAAGATGTTGTATTTTCAGCTGAGGAGAATTTTAAAGTTAATTAATTTTTATATATGGTTGATCAAGCAAGTGCTTCTCTTAAAACAAGATTTCAACAATACAAAGAGTATGAAAACATTTTCGGTTTCTTGTTTCCAAAAAAAATGAAGGAATTTGGTGAAAAAGATCTCAAGTCATGTTGTAGCCATCTCGAAGCCGCACTTAAGTCTGAACAATCAGATATAGATTCTCATGAAATTTATATGGATTTAAAGCTGATTGATATGTCCTTACCGAGTGAAATTACGTGCCTTATTGATGTTTTAAAGTATATGAAGAAAGTCGATTGTATTCCTAATGCAATTATTGCCTACAAAATCTTGTTGACTATTCCCGTAACGTTCGCATCTGCAGAAAGAAGTTTTTCAAAACTGAAGTTGTTGAAGTTCTACTTACCGTCCACAATGTCACAAGAAAGACTTAATGGATTGACGATAATAGTTATGAGAATGATATATTAGATACTATTGATTCTAAAGAGTTAGTGAACAATTTTGCTTCCAAGAATGCTAGGAGAATCTCACGATTCATGTAGTTATGTAAGATTATCTATTGTTTTATCGTTCTTTTGTTTTGCTTCATATTATAGCAATTATGGAATAATTAATGAATTTTTGGTATAAGTAAAAAATATGTATTTAGGGGCCCATTTTTTTAGTTTCGCATTGGGCCCATAAAATCAACGGACCGGCCCTGAATTTAGCCACGACCTATTCCATCCTTCAAATATTAGAAAAAAAAACTCTATTTAACCTAACCTAAACTGTTTCGTACTAAAAAAAAGTAGAAATCGATAGAGAATCAGAGTTTACCTGGCAACCAAAATCAAAGAAAAGACGTAATCACCTTTGCTCTCTTTTT